ACAAAAAACCCACAACTTCCAAGAAGGAAAGAAGGACTAGAGAGGACGTAGAAGCAGCAAGGCAAAATAAAGGGACTAAATTCAGCAGGAATTCCCAATCCCCAAGGTTGTGCCTCCCAACCTTTCACACACTGTGGTATATAAGGAAAGCTGTACAACTTTAACCAACAGGTAAGCTTGGAGAGTTGCTGTTGTCCCTGCTAGATTTTCTAAAAGTCACCAGTCCTAGAGACAAGGATGTGAGGAGGCAGAAAGGAAGAAAAACATAGAGCTGTGCGAGGCCAGACCTGGGATATGCCACTAAGACAGCTTGGTGAAAAGTGTGTAGAGGGCTCCTGATGTAGCACAGGCCACTGCCCACCTGGAGTCACTAGGCAGTCAAATGGTTAAAGTGTTCAACTTAGAGCCAAAGGTTAGAGGTCTGAGTTCACTCAGAGGTGCCTCAAAAGAAAGGCCTGGCACCTTATTTCAAAAAAATGAACCAGTGAAAATCCTATGGAACAGACTTCTATTCTGCCACAATGGAGTCTGCAGGAGTCAGCTTGCTGGCCACTGTTCATGACTTCCTAGATGTCAGGTTCAACCTAAGGACAAATGGGGTAGGTTCTAGGGCTATGCCAGAAAAATCCCATCTCTTCAGTGATCCAGGAAGCTAAAGGGAAGTTCATCATATTCTTAAGGTCAGAAGAAGGGTGAGAGCCACAGTGACTAAGGAACCTGTAAGGATCAAGGCCTGCAGAGCTAAAAAGGAAGTGAAAACCCACAGGGTTGTTTAGGACTCTACACCAGTGCTGAGCCAGCTGACATCATGGGACCATGCCTACAACGCTCGCCCTCAGTATATGACCAAGCTTACACACTGAAATTACTCACACAGTTGGCAAGATCGGTTGTCTTACTCACCTTTTTACTTTGGGGTGCAAAGAAAAGTAATCTAGAAGATGGCAGAGTAGACCGACATGCTACTGAGACCCTCTACAACAAAGACATGGGAAACCTAATGAAACAGATATAGAGGACAGTCCTGGAACCCTGAGCTTCTGAGGAAAGGTTAGAGAAGTGGATTGAATACCTACTGGGAGGGGAAGCTGACCAGGGACAGTGAGAGAACAAGACTGACTGGTGAATAGACTGCCAGCTATATGCGGTGTAGCCATATTGAACTTTTGTGAGCAGCTTTGGCGAGACAGACAGACAGTGGCCTGAAGTCTCAGATTCACAGGGGTGATGGAAAAGCTCTATCCACTGGATAAGAGGCAAAACCAACTCTTATAGCACCTGATAAATGATAGACATCAGCCAAACTCACCCTAAAGTGAATGACACATTGGATAGAACACAGTGCACATGCTTCCATTCTCTAATCACACCCACAAGGAGACAGCCGGTGAGAGTTTAAGAACATACTAACTTACAATCATCAATTAAATACAAATGCAGCAACAATACAATGTTGAAGATAGCAGATTTTGGTTCACATGAAGAAAGGAGCGAGAGTGGCTCAAAAAAATGATGAAGATACAGAGCCAGAAAACATTTCTGAGGAAGAAAAGGTAATTGAACTTTCTGAGAAGGAATTCAAAAGAATGATATTTAGGTACCTTCCACGGATTGACAGAAAGATAAAAAATCAATGAGAACAGAGAAAAAACTAGAAGATTTTAGGAAAACATTACAAGAACAGTAAAAACAAATGCAAATTTTGAAACAATACAAAACCTACAAATAGAAATCCAGTAGATTAATACTAAGATCTCAGAAGTGAACAACACACTGAAAGGGCAAAGGAATAGATTTGAATTAGTGGAAGTCTGAGATTCACATGGGACACCATGAAGAGGAATAACTAATAGATGATTAGAATTCTAGAACAGGAAGAGATAATAAAAAGCAAGGAGAAAATTGAAGAGTTGCTGGAAGTAAACATCCCTAACATCATGAAAAACAAGAAAAATAACCATCCAATAAGCTGAAGAAACCCTAAACAGGATAGACCTGGTGCTTCAGGATAATGCAGTAGACTGCAAGGTTGGCTTGAACTGCAAGGTCAGCAGTTCAAACCCACCAACTACTCCTCAGAAACCCTATACAGGGACGTTATGAATTGAAACCAACTTAACGGCACTTAACAACAACAACAATATGATAATCAAGCTTTCCCAAACAAAAGACAAGGAAAGACTCCCGAGAGCAGGTTGGGAAAAATGAAAAGCTACCTACAAAGGAGAACCCATAAGACTAAGCTCTGATTTCCCAGCAGAAACCATGCAGTCAAGAAGTCAATGGAATCACATATACAAAACTCTTAAAGAAAAAAAAAAAATGCCAGTCAAGAATCATATACTTAGCAAAGCTGTCACTCAAATATGATGATGAAATGAGGACATTTTCAGATAAACAAAAATTAAAGGTTGTTGCAGACCGTGTAAGACTAATCAGAGGTTCGAGGCCCGCTAGGGCTGAGTGTAACAAATGAGGCCACTGGCAGTTAATGGCAAATTGCTTTCATATTAATATTCAGGTATATATATTAAATTAATACACTGGAGCCTTTGACAATCCACAGATAAATGTGATATTTTCCTAAAGCAGAGACTGAAGGTTGTAAGGTTAAGCATTTCTCCAAAGGATTAACTAAAAATGTCTTAGCTACTTCACAGCTCTTTGTTCTATAGACAAAGAACCCATCCTCCCTAATCCTTTTCCAGGTGCAGCCCATTCACCTGGGCTTCTGGAGTCCTCCTGCAGTGGTTGCGGAAGCCAAAGCAGCAGGACTCCACCCAAGCTTTTGTCTTTAACTCTCACCTTCCCCCAACTATGCTCAGGGGCTATAGATATGTTAATTGGGCCTGAGAATCCAAGTTGCTGGCCTGGGATTCGAACCAGTGAAGTACTATGTAAAGTTACCTGA